TCCTGGGATCACTTCGAGATGTCCGTCTCGATTCCACATAAATAATTTCTGATGAGCCGTCGAAGGCACGACTCCTACTCCATGGATCCACTCTCTTCCAAGTAATGCGTTGAAATTTGCATGTGACTGGACCACAACAAACACAGTAGGCCTCGAGTAAGTGCCTACTTTTACGTCTAAGGCAATCATACCTTTTGAACTTGATGTCTTTCCGCTAAAATCGGAGATCATGATATTGTGTTTAACTAAATCTTTTAGCTCAACGCCAAATTTCTTTAGCATAGTAATTGGCAGTATGTTCACTGCAGCTCCACCATCGACAAGGACTCTATTCACCATCTGTCCTTGAATCTCGATATTCAATAATAATGGTTTCAAATGGAACCTCATTTCCTCCGACGGAGGATCAATAAAGGCAGCGTCTCTATGAGGTACTTCGCATGAGGTTTGTGTAACTCATGTTACCTTTGGTTTTATGTTTTCTGAGTAGAAATCATCCTCTCGATCAACATCACTCTGTTCTTGGTATTCTTGATATTCATTAACATATTCTGCGGGTAAAATCGATATCACTCCGATTTGATGTTCCTCCCAGTTGCCTTCGTTCTTATCATCGAAATAATCTCTCGCATATTGACTCTCTCTTGGTACAACATTCTCTTCAAAGTTTTTATAATTATTCCAATAAGGGATCCTTCCTCCTCTTCTCCCAGGCCTTCCTCGGAATCTCCTTTGGAATGTTGGATATCCAATGTTCGATCCTTCATCGTATGATAATCGTTCGAAGACGTCATTGCTCTGAAGTCTGCCTCTTCCTCCTCGAGAAGGATACATCTTTCTTCTGATCCATTGCCTTTGATTTCCGCTAACGCCAGAACCAACGGATTTCTGTTGACTTTCTTCGATTGTTGGTCGGGCCGTTTGATCTATTTTATCATTTTTTCTTTTATTCTAGCTTTCGATCTTCTTTATCTGTTCCAATCTGAAAGCTTTGGCAGCCGATTTATCGAATACCGCACTGCATCGTGGGCATAACGACACGTCTTCATCTTTTTCTTTCTTTCTATTCAAAAACTCAATAAGTGAGTCTCCTGATCGAGGGTAGATCTCCTTTTCAAACTCCTTCTCGAATTCGCTCAGGTCAAATTCCATATCTTCCTCAGATACATCCATCCTAACATGTTTGGGATCAATGTCTTCAGTAACATCAACCATGCCTATAAAGGCCGAATTTGTCACTCGGACATCATCAGTCATGCCCGTTTGGGATTCGAGGTATCCTACTTGGGCCTCGAAGGGACTCGTGTCGACTTTCATTGTCATTTCTTCGAATTTCAGCCTTCCTTGGTCGATTGCATCTTGGATCGTGTTCCTGAAATGTATGCAATTGTTAGTCCAATGTCCGTAAACATTATGAAATTTGCAATATTTTCGACCATTCCTTTGTTCTGCAGAGGGAAGTTTATGATCATCACTTAATTTAATTTGTTTATCTTTCAATAAAATATCGAAGATTTTGTCGGCCTTTGTTACATCAAAAGTATATGTTCTATTCGCCATTTTATCTTTTACTTCATTTTTTTGAAGTAATTTACAGATATATGGAGCTCCTACTTTGAGCTCTGCTATATTTACTTTCTCATCGACAGTCTCTTCCACATCATTTTCTGTCGTGGGATCTGTTTCATATATATCGTTTATATATGCTATTCTTTCTTTCTTCATCGGTTTCTCAAATTTCTTATGTCTTTGCTTTTCATATTCGATTTGTTCTACTCTTCTCACTTTGTCAGCTAACTGGGCCATATCATTCAATGGTAAATTGACTAATTTTTTTCTAATCGAGAATTCTAAGCCTGCAGAGGCCATTCTGACTAATTCATATTCAGGAATTTGAGTAAAACATCTCGATTTCATTTGTCTAAATCGATTCAAATAGTCATCTATGCTTTCATGATTGTATCTCTTTATATTCATCAAGTCGATGAGACTTACTTGAGTTTCTCCTCTAAAGAATTGTTCATGAAAATTTCTCTCTAACTGCAACCAATTATGTATCGAATTGGGAGGTAACGAAGTGAACCAAGTAAAAACATTCTTCGTCAAAGAACTAGGAAAATATTTCATCTTTAATTCTTCACTCATCGCTAAATCCCCGCATTTGATCTGATATCGAGCCACATGCTCGATCGTCGATTCACCAACTTCTCCAGCAAATTTAGTGAATTTGGGTACTTTATACCCTCGAGGCAATTCTGTTTCGAGAATCGCATTCGGAAAGGGAGACACAAAATATGTCTGATTGGGTGGTCTGAATTCCATCCCTTGTAAATTCATCCTTTGTCCTAACATGTGATTGTTTTGCATGTTATTTTGATTATACATGTTTTGAAATCCTTCATTCATATTTCCATAAATATCATTTCTCCCATGTTGATATTCATTCCCTATTAGTTGATTATTGTTTCGATTTCTTCTCAATAGATATGGGGGATTAACGTCATTATTCTGGGTAACATGATTTTCTACCCTTGTTTGTCGAGGTATTGCCAATGCATCCCCGATACGTGACATTTGATCTGCTAATATCTCGAAACTAGCAGTAGTGTTTTGAACTAATGGATTTAAGACTGTAGTCAACTGTTGTGATAACATGTTTACCATTTCAAAGTTGCTCTCATCCATTTGTTGCCTAAGTATTCCTAATGAGTTACTGGAAATTCCAGTACCAGTATTATCGAGAGCCTCAAGATTGGATCGGTGATAGTCTCTATCAAATGCGTATCTCCCATGATCCAAGTTTCCTCTATGATCTAAATTTGGAGTTATCTGTTGTGTGCCTGAGTTCTGTCCACTCCCTGAATTCTGGGGGATTGTTAAATTCTGAGATACCCCTAAATTTGGAGAGACTCCAAAATTTTGCGGCATTCCCAGTGTTTGAGGCATACCTAAATTATATCTCGGAATTCTATGTATCGATGAAGTACCAGTCCCGTTCAAATTATTGAGCGAAAACCCAGGCGGTCTTACACTCGCATATGGTCCTGCATATGTTGTTGTAGGGTTTCCCATAGTTTGCATACTGTTTAGTACCGCCGTACTGGATCCTACTTGGGTATTTGCTAAAGTGCCTGAATTTTGTTCATTACTCACAGGTATCGATATATTTGTAGTTGTCGATATTACAGGCATACTCCCATTGTGCCCTTGCCCCCCAGTATTTGGCGGAGGCACACTATTTAGACCCTCATTATTGTTCTGGTTATTTGATGAACTCTGACTCATTCTTACAACTCTCCCACTCCTTAATCTCATACACTTTCGAACTAACCAATTTTGTGTTTTTCAACACAATCCCCTACCTGGCGCGCCAATTTGTTTCTGGTGGAATTTCGATCGATTTCGATTCTAAATGTATTTTGATCCTAATCAAAATCCTACCACGTAAGTTCTTTTACTTAGGCTAGCAGTCTGACTTTCAATCGAAATTTTGTATGAGAATCGAAAGTCACAGAATATAGAAATGCTATTTTTTAGTGTTTTATATTTAAAATGCCGAAAGTAGTAAAAGTATCGAATCGAGAAACTGAATGTTAAATTGCAAGGAAATGTAAAATACAAAAACCCCAAATTTGCCTTAATTGTAAATGACAAAAATCGAAAACAGTGTAAATATGAATGACCAGAAATCGAGATTTGCAAGTAAGATAAATGACAAGAAATCGAAATTGCATAAAGTAAATAACTCCAAAAATCGAAATGTGCGGTAACGTAAATGACAAGGAAATAAAAATAGTAACAATGTAAATGTCGATAAATCGAATTTGCAAGAAAAGTAAAAGACAATAAAATCGAAGGTGCAGTAAAAGACTGGAAATCGAAATTGCATTAATGTAAAATACCCAGGGAATTTAAATACAAACTTAACTTGCGTGAATTGAAATGACTAAGAATCGAAAATACAGAAACGTAAAATTGCTGAATTTAAGTTGCATCAAAGTAAATTACCAAGGGAAATACAGAAAGCGGTAAATGTACTCAGTGAGCAAGGAAATCCAGATTGCCAGAAGCTTCATGGTGTTCGTCATTTCTCCGGTAGACTTTTCACTACTGATTCTGTTCTCTGCCAATTTCTGCTCCTCTGTTTCTTCCTTCTTTGCTCTATTTATAGTGCATCGTTCAAGTTTTCCAAGAGCAGTTAACATGACTGCTACCACGTTCTACGTGCATGTGACGGTTTTATCTTCTACGGTTTCCCACGTTCTCACGATCTTTGATTTCTTCCATGATTTCAAAACTACTCTCTATTCGTGCGTTTGACTTATTCTTCTCTTTATGTTTTAGCCAAAATTTTCGATATTCGCATTGGCTCTCTTTACTCTCGATTTTGTATTTTTCGAGAACTTCAAATTGCTTACGATTCCTTTTTAACCCTGGTCTCATGTGACTTAGTTTTTATTCGATAATAGGCATTTGGTTATCATTCACCCAATTTTCGATTGTGCCTCTCAATGTTATGTACTACGTGCTTAGACATCGAATGGTTTTTTATTTACCTTGATTTATCAGTCACGTTATCTCTTTCCCTTCCTTCGTTTTCAATCGCTATTTTCGATTTTCCACTCGACAAAATGGACTCGATTGCTTCCTCGATTTTCTTTCCTTTGACTTTTCAATTTGCCAATAACAGATATAAAATAATAATTGCTTAAAGTAATTTTTTATTAGAAAATTTTATATAATATAAAAATTATTTGAATTTTTTTATATAACAACTAGAAAAAACAGAAAATGAATTATTTAAACTTTATTGAATAAAGTTCTAATGAAATAAAATTAACAAATTACTTGAAAATCATGTATTATTATCGTATATTATTATTTTACAACAAAAGATAACTCATAGATACTAGGTTATATATATATTAAATGGATTACAGGAAGAAAATTCTGCAATTTACAACTTTTTATGTAATTATTAACCAATAAAATTTGAAAATATGTTCATTCTCTTTCGTTCCTCCTTTCCCTCTTCTTTGACTCTGATACACTGCAATCACCCAGCACCTGCATCAACATCGTCTTGCACGACGGAGTTCCTCCACCGCGCGAAACAACCGCCTGACGGAGCTCCGCCAGGATCACTGCATATAACAACCGCTCCAACCGCGACTCAGCCGTTCAGGGTGCTGACAGTCCCCGCCAATCAGATTACGTCGGATAACCAACCAACAGTGGGTTTCTTCCTTTTTTTTTTTATTTATTGGAAAAATTACTGTCAATTTTGTATTGAAATTATATCATAGACTATTGTGCTTTCAGCATGTGGTTGCTTTAGTCATTTATTCTTGACAGTACCCTACCAGCTTAAATTATTAGGTATGGATTGAACGTGACTTCATTTAGGAAGGGGAGGGATACCTTAATGGGAAGAGTTTAGGGATCAATTTGAAATTTGTTTCAATACTTTAGTTGTTCAAACTTGTTAATGGAAAATTTCAATCAAAACATCTTGGAACAATGATTAATCCTTACTTGCAATTGGTGCACTATAGTTAGCATTGTTTCCTGGAGAAGAGAATCCGCCATGGAACCAACTTGTGCTGCTCGTGCCATGGAATGGAGCATTCAACTTGAAATGGGCCTTCGATCTGCAAAACCTGGTTATTTAATTCTCATTCATCTTTTTCTTTACATCATTATGTTCCCTTTTATTGCATTGAAAATTTGGCTATCCAAACAATGGTGCCTATCCAAATAACGCCTCATTCAGTGGGTACTGTTACTTCAAAGTTAAAACTCTTGCAGTTTTTGTGTTCTTTGTTTGTTTGTTTTCTTGGTTTTTGAAATTTATCACTGCCAGGTGCTCCTGTCAAAGCGATATTGGAAATGGAGCCTCGCCTTTTGCAATGGAGTAGAGAGCCTGAATCTGGCGTTGCTCCCTGTGCCATGTTTGGTCTTGTTCCAGGTGAAGATAGAATATTTGCCAATGCTATCCTCTTGCGCCTTGCTGATGCCTTTAGTGGAGGTGACATAGAAACCAGACTTTCAGTTGTTAGGGTTTTCTTGTCTGTACAGAAACATCGTGATAAGGAGAAGAAAAAGCAGGGTAAAGGTTTGCTATCAGAGGGCAGAGTAGCTAATCACCTGGAGTTGTTAAGGAGAGTAAAATCTGTTTTTGATAGTGGGGATTTGGAGTCGAAGGCACTGACTTTGGTTTTGTTTGGTTGTTGGGCTGATTTTGTGAAAGACAATGCTCAGATTCGATACTTAATATTTTCTAGCCTTGTTTCTGCTCATGATTGTGAGGTAAAATAAGCATCTTAATGTTATTGTTATTTTAGATGTTTGATTTCATTCATATTAACATCTCTAAATATATTTACTTTGATTTCTACTCGTGTAACGAAATTATGTTTTCCGACATCTGAAAATTTTTCTGTTCAATTATATTGCAATTGAGAAACTACAATCTTACTCTGATTTACATGACTACACATGGATTGATTGACAAGACAGTGATAGGTAAATTGGATATCATTTTGCCTTGCATTTTATAAAATGTAGAGGGTGAGCCTTGAAATATTCTCCTAATTTTCTTTAATTCCGAATTCTAACTTGTTTACCTTACATTATCTGAAGACACTTTTATTGTATTTTAATTAATCAAATTAATTTTCTGTGTCAATACATCTGAAATATTGGGTTGAGATTTCACAGGTGAGAGCATCTTTGTATGCCGCTGGGTGCCTTTGTGAGATATCCGATGATTTTGCATCTATTTCAGTGGAGATGTTATTTAATATAATGAATTCATCTTCAGTGTCTTTGCCTGTAAAGTTGGCTGCTGCACGTGTTTTGGCAAAATGTAAATCTTCTTATTCAGTTGCACATAACGCGTACAAGGTATTTGATCCTTTTATGTTATATGACATCTAATATACCTTTTTTTTAATGTAAATCATTTTTTGTTGTTGTTAAACTATTTGTTTTTGTATGACTTCCTGTGTAATGGTGTAACTATGATTATTATGTTTCTGTGTATTTCTAATAACTGTTTTTTTTTTCTGTTTCTGCATATTATATCTATGTTGTCTTCCTTCACTTTTTCCTAGGGATGTAATTAACAAGATACCAAGTGGAAACAAAGAGTGGCTAGAGGAATTGCGAAGAAAATACCTATTTTTTGTTGTTAATATATATATATATATATATATATATATATATATATATATATATATATATATATATATATATATATATATATATATTAACACCTAAGCTTACATCAAAGTGCAACGAAGACACCTCTTCCACCAATTTATTAATGCATTATCTGCTTCAATTTAGTCAAGAGTTTAGGACTACTACTTGAGGGATTAAGGAACTATATATTCTGGGCTGCCTTGTTTCCTTAGAACAATTAGGTTAGAGAATTGAGTTTTTGTTTGAAACTTAAACCATGACTATATAAGAACATAAAAATAAGAACTAATTCTTACTGTAATTTTAGGTTAGAACAATTAGATTAGAGAATTGAGTTTTTTTCTTGCCCAATGGACTTCCCACACTCTGTAATTTAGGTTCAGTATCCAAACTTAATAGCGTTATAAAATAGCATACATATTGTTAAGTTTAACAAGCCAAAAGAAATTTGTTAATTTTTCTCTTGTCTTTCCATTATTGGATCATTGACATTTGGTTTTCTGATGAATGGTTGATTTAGTGCAGACAGGTATGGAGTTGGTACTAAATTCATCAGATGAAGATTTTGTGGTTGCTATGCTATACTCACTCTCAAAACTGGCTTGCATTTTGATTCCTTTTACCTCCTATCAGGTATGTACCTCTCCTGCTATATGATTTTTAGCATCCTAGTCGAGCAGGAGAAATGAAAGGCCGCATATTGCTTTATCCTTGCTTTTATTTCTATTTTAAAGATTTATATGAACATTTGCCGAGTTTTCTGGTCTTATTCCTTCAACTGACTTTATTCTTTTAAAAGTTATCCACAATATGAAGTTTGTGAAACTCATTTTGAGATTTGAAAAAAGCTGATATTTAAAGCTTGTGATAAAATAAAGCACCACGCAGCTAGCTTTAGCATGCTTGGATGGTGGTCTCAATTCAAAATATATGCCATGTCTATGGTGCTTCCCTTGTGTAATATTTTTTAAGTCATTTGGAATCAGGTGGACTTTCTTCTTTTGTTTCTCAATAGAGAAAAAACTTCACATGTAAAAGAAACAGCATTACGATGCTTGCATTTTTTATTCAGAAGAGGATTGTGCGAACACTCAGATAATTCAGGTCTAATTCGTGGGCTGTTTTCCGTGATGGAGGAACCTGGAATTTCATTGGCCATGCAATATACAGCTCTAAGGGTCTTGCACAAGGTTTGAGTTCAGTATCTGGGAAAATAAAACTCCTATTTTTATTTGTTATGATACATGAACTTGTTTGAAATGCTTTAAATGATTGGCAGGTCCTTCTTTCTATTCCGCCTACATCACTTCACGTGGAACTTCATGAGTTTGTAAGGCTTCAAACTGTTATTGAGGACACAAGTCAATATCCAGCCTGGAGGAAGAGCTGTTTGGCCATTTGTATTCTAGCAGATTTGTGTTGTAGGACAAAGGACAGAGCAGAAATTGATAATGTTTTTTGTTGTTCTTCCCTGCCATCACGTGTTATCTCTTTAATCAAAGATCATATCAAACTTCTGCCATTGCTGGAAGGTTGTCAAAATGATTTGAAAATTTGTCAGGAGCTCCAGGCTCTGCTAAAGATTCTTTTAACTGTTGTTGAAAGTCATCCTTCTCTTGGTTCTTTGGTACTTGATAACATAAAAGAAGTGATTGAATATCTTGTGACTGTTGCATCTACTAATTGTGCAGTACAATCAACTCTTGTAGCTGTAAATTTTAAAGGAGAAAAGCAAAATTCCTTTATTTTAAAACTTCTCCGCAAAATATACAGATTTCTGGTGACATGCCTTGAAAATCTTTATGTAGTTGGTGCTATCAATACTGAAGTGTTCAGTAAAGTGAATATTTTGGCTGAAATTGTGTGTCAGTGTAGTTTAATTGATTGCTATACGTACACATTGTACCATCTGCTATTGCACAACCAACCTATTTATGATGGCTTAGTCCATGAGAATGATGGAACACATCCAGCTAGTTGTCTTATTAAATGCACAACTTTTGTAAACAAAGTCATGACAGGAACAAATGGTTGGACTGCTTACAAGGTTGGTGCACATGCAGCGTGTCAGGGTGAATGGTTGCTAGCTACTATTATATTTAGGACGTTAGTAGAGAAAGTGAAGTCTGATTCTTGCTGTAGCTGGTTAAAAGCATTGTTCCATTATTCTAATTCTGAAGAAAAACTCCAACTTCTTAGGCAACCAAAACAAGGAACCACATCAATGGAGTTGTTGGAGAGTATCAAATTTCCTTTAACACGTGATTACAAGGATGATACATCTCCAAGACTTGCCAGGAATATCAATGATTGTAATTACTATGATCAGCTTACCCTGTCTCATGTGGAAGTATGTTCTTCCTTGAAAATTTTGGAAGCCTCTGTAACAAGTTCTCAAGCATTTTGTTTGCAGAGGTGGTTTTTATCATTAAGAGCTAGAGTGTTGGAAAATTTAGTGGGTTTGGTTAAAGCTTTGAGGGAAGTTTCATTGAATGTGGATCTAAATTTAAATCAGGTAGAGATTGAGTGTAGTGATAAGCTTCAATTCATGAAGTCTTATCAAGATATTGCTCAAGTTTCTTTACAATTGTTCAGACTAGCAGAAGAATTTGATCTACTTAGAGCATCTTTCATTGGGATGGACAGTGAAAGTTCTTCAGTGCTTGCAGCTCATGGTCTGAGTTGTTCAGTATTAGCATTTGCAACTGCTTTTGGAGTGTCTAATATAGACCAACATTCTAAGAGAATTTTTATTGGTGACAAAGCCTCTTGTAATAAACAGGCTTTGACAATACAAAATTTAAGGAGGCTATTTTGGTGTGTAGATCATGGAACCAGAGCAAGTTTCTCTATACTGTTAAATTATTTTGACCTAAATGAGAACTATTTATCCCCACAGTCCAGTTACGGAACTTGTAGCATTGGCTATAAAGACAGAGAGGTGCTCAATGTTTGTAGTTATGCTGTCTCTGGCGCAGTCAGCTTGCTTGAGAAAATTGCATCTCAGTTTACCAAGAATGCTTTGTCACTAGCTTCTAATACTTTGATAAAATGGATGCACATTCCTTTTCGGATTCCTAAATACTTCTTCAGAGTAAGGTATGTGTATCAATTATTCACTGGAATCAGTGTAAACTTTTCAATTAAAGCTTAAATTATCAATAACATGAAGACAAAGTCTACATGTGATTTTTATTATAATATAATTTTTATTGAAATATTCGTCACATGGGCTATTATTTTCTCCTTTAAAATTGTCCCTTCTCTTCTTTTTCATGTCAAAATGTATTATATAATTATAAACTATTGTTGATAGGAATTGATTATTTTGCTTTTGCGCTCGTTTACTGAAGTCTCAATAAATGGTTTCCCAAATTTTCTAGTATTTTAAGGTGAATTAGTTTGCTTTTCTTGTTCAGTAGATGTTTTCTTTGTTGTGGACCTTCACACGTTTAGTGCTCTCCGATCTTATGATGAAGCCTTATCTGCAAATCTAGAACTACTGTTGTCCTTCTTAGTTCTTAATTTGATCAAAGCCATGACTAAGAGTTGGCAGTTCGATGTTTGTTTATGTTTCCTAACACATAAAAATATGGTGTGCAAGGCTTTATATATATAATTAAAAAGCTGCTAATGTTGTATATGCATTATTTGAGCAGGCCATTCATTGGGTCGGAGCTTTTTCTCCACAATGAGGACTCTGGTAATGGGGTTGACATGTCTGTTTCGCAAGGCTCCCACATCACATTGAATATGTGTCTTAAATTGAAGAATGTGCCACCAAACCTCCTGGTTAAGTCAACTAAGTGTTACTGCATCCTTCATTGCAGTACATCCTTCTTCATCCCATGTGGACAAACCTTGGGGCACTCACAGTCTATATATGACGCTTGGAAAGATGATATAATTGTTGAACTGAACCAGAAGTTGGTTTGCCATGTCATGGATGGTGTGGCAGGCAAGAGAAGACTTGACATGCATAGTAGGGGCCATGGTAATGGTAAGGCGGTGGAGACATTTATGGATTTCAGACTTAATGAGAAAGGGCAGGGGTTTTCACATTGCTCACTTGATGTGTCCAACTTTCCCCTAGGTTCTTATAGAATCAAATGGCATAGTTGTTTGGTTGATAGTCAAGATTCCTATTGGAGCCTCCTTCCTTTGAACTCGGGACCTGTATTTTTTGTTACAAAACCCAGAGTTGGCTAATCTACTAACAATTTCATCAAGCATATCCATTAAAATAAATATTATTCGTATAAAGTATGGTCACTTTCTGGCCAACTGATCCTCAAGGTTACTGCATCATTTATCACTCATTTTCCAACTGCTTCAATTTATGGCTGTAATTTTATCATGTTGCTATGATATCAAGTGTCTCATTAGCTGCTGTACAGATAACTTGGATTCTGTCCACTTCGAGACCGATTTTTAAGCTATTCTTCGGTAGCAATTTTTTTTTATTTATCATTAGGTACTAATTTCAGAATCGAAATGATCAGCATTCAATTCTACAGCAACCTAATGTTCTTGGATGTTTTCTTGTTTTAAGGAAAACAGAAGAAAACCTTTTTATTATATATTTTTGTTAGGTACTTGTGGCTACCTAGCCGGATTTCAGTGGTTTTGGTTCATTGAATGCGAACCATCAGGATGAATAGTATTTGGTAAATAAATGGGCATTTGAAAGTGAGAAGAAGTTTTATGCATGTCTCTGAACCAATATTAGAGCAGAAGGTGATTAACAATGATTCTTCTATATAAAACAAGTTTTCCCTAGTTATTAAAATTTTGAAATCACATTTCTTCTTTCCAATAAGGATTGGTTAAAACTTAGTAGATATAGTTTAGGCTGTTTTATATAATTATTTCCTTTAGTGTCCTGCTTTGTGCTTACACCCATTTGATATTTTCCTTATCAATATGAATATCCACTTCTGAATATCCAGTATCTCCATTCATGGTTATTTTCATATTGGCATTAGTTCCTCTAATCGACTGAATTTTTTTTCTTGATTGTTAGTGACTTACAAATTTGGGAGGCACTTCAGTTGCAGTTATATGTTCTGAGAATGTCTTCATGAACAGCTAGAGGTATATTTATTATATCTTTTAACTTTTTGGCTATATGTCTTTATGTTCTCCAAATTTTGCAGGTTCGTACTTAGTACTTCTTAGTTATATTCTCTTGACAATTTTCTCTGATTTCAAATTTTCTTTTGATATAATTTACTGGTTCCAGACCCTACTAATATCTGTTGTCTTAATCTACATCATTAATTGATGTTTCAACCAGGAAAATAATGTCTTATATTCCTTTTTAGTTACATAATCTGAGTTGTATGTGAAATGGATGATTCCTTGTATTTTTTAGAAATTGTGCTATGGAAACAGTTTCCTCACCTGACTCAATTGCTTGGCCTCACAGCTGCTTGCACCATGGAACTTGGTCACACAGTTGAGTCTTGTTGGAAATTCTATATTAACTGGAGATATAATATGATATATAAGTAGCAAAGTCTTGTTCAAACCATTTTTGTGAAGTTGGAGTAGACTTAAATTCACTTTCTAATATGGCATCAGAATATATTCTAGATTCATCAAGAAAGAGTCACTCATCATATTACGTGAATTTTAAGAGAAGTTATTCGGTGATCTTTGACAGGGATGTAAGTTTTTAAATTTTAAGTAAAATAAGTGATAATATTTATGAAAAGAGTGGTAGCTCAAGAACTAGGCACAATACATTGCCATTTTCGTTTTTTTTTTTCTATTTCTTTAAATGATTACATATTTTTAAAAGTTCTTAAACTTATTTTATGAACAACTGATCACGTTACAGGAATTACGTCAGAGGATTTGTTTTATCCGAAAAAAAAAATATTTTAACTTATTTCGCTTTATTAATGATCATTTCTCAAATTCCAAATCCCTCCCCAATTGCACTGTCTTCAGTTACAGCCTTTTTCTTTTATAAAAATATATTATGATTTTATTGTCACATCATATTAATAAATAACATCCCTAATATATACAGAGTTATCTTCGAAAATGCAAAATTACGAACCATCTAATAATATATCTTAATACATTAATAACTACGAGATTTGTTCTCTTCAATTTTATTTTACAATCAGATCTTTGCCACTATATATATTTCATTATATTTGTATAAATATGGTATGCAGCACCTTAAATCCGATTTTTAGTTTTTTCATTAGCTATTGTACATACCCGATCCACATAAATGTTCGAATTATTACGACAAATATTTTACACCATCCAAAATATCTGATCGAGTATTACTCGGATGATAGATATCCCAAACATTAGATAAATAGAAATAAAATATTCTTTAATTTTTAGACTATTATGATTAAATATTATTTGATAAAAAATTATGTATTTTTTCCTTTTTGATATTATATAATTTTTATTATTATTTCATATATTCTATCTAAAAATAAAAATGTCTTTATTATATAAAATATGGTTAAGATTATTTTTTATATTTAAAATATTATTTACTTTACAATTTTTGTGTGTTGTGATTTTGTTTTTGTGAGTTAAGAAAAAAAGGAAATATATAAATTAATATCGATTTTAACTATAAATCGATAAGAGACTCGTAAAGAAGATGATTTAAACATTGAAAAACCATCCTCTTTCTCTATCCACTCCCAAAGAACTTAAAAGAAACCACTTGAGAGATAACAACAATTATCAATATCAATATAATAGCTCACAAGACTCAAGATTGCATGTTCAAATTCCATCTCAGATTGAAATTTGATAATAAGGAAACACCAATATGTTATTATATAAAATATCAATTTCAAAATTCAATAATAAAAAATTGGACATATAAAATGACAATTTAAAAGTAGAATAGTAAACCATTGGACGCTTAAAACGCAGAAAAAAACGCAACAAAAACGGTTGAAAGTTGAAATGAAAATTCTTTGGAAACATTGCCAAATTTGTGTCTGAATTGATTAGTGCTTGCTTACCCCACGTTTTTTTTTTCCAATATGAGTTGTATTTTATTGAAAGATACCCAGAACGTGATTCAACTTTCTGCAACTAGCTTCTTAACATTTTTTTTGTTGTGCTCTCTATTTTTGAGATTATCAAAGATATGCAAGGATACATTTAAACAATTGAATATTGAAAACCTTTTAAATGTGACATAAAGACAACTAAATTATGATAAGTAGTTTTGATAAATTATACAATGAATCAATTGATATTTCATGAGTGGACTCCTACTACAGAAAAAAAATCATAAAAAAATCACCGACATTATTATATAAAGTTGTTTAATGAATTTTTTTTAAAGAATTGTCTAAGTACTATTTAAGCAAAAAAAGTCACCATGTTTAGCATTTGTAAGTATTATTAAGAGTATTTCACTTATTTTAACTTTTTTTTAATAGGTGTATTATTGAGGATGAAATGATTGCTTTATATAATAGAAATCCAAAATAAACAAATAAATACTCTTGAATATACAAATTATATTATACTTAAAATTTACAATTGATAAGATATATTTGAATGTATAAATTATATTTTAGATTTACAATGGATAACTTAAATTGTGATGTAAATTTACTTTAGCTATTGACAATTTATTAAAAAAAAACTGAGAAAAATTATTTATTTTAGAGAAATACTATTTTTATTAATTTTCTGATAGAATTCTAAAAGAAGTTATTACTTTTCATAGATACTTGTCCTAAACATATTAAAAATGGTTTTGCTTATTTAATCAAACAAATTTATTCCTCTTAATTTTCTTTTCAAAATACATTTATCAAATAGAAACATGAATTGCTTTCATTGATTATTTTTATGAATTATTTCAAAATTAAAAATATATCACTAACTTCTTCAAATTATTTTCCTTGATGAAGCAGCCAAAACCAGCTAAGAACGTAAATGGTAGACCCTTCTGCTCAGGAATTTCATCATGGAATTCTTGGTCATTAAAGTGCTACTTTTCTTCATATTCCAAAATCTTTATGACATTTTACTATAAAATGAGCATATCTTGATGAACTTTTTCCAATAAATCAACCTAACGGTCTCGACTAAAATGTTTTATTCGATTTTATATTAAAAATTCATTTTGAATAAATTTTTGTCTGTTAAGATTTTATTTTTAAAAAACATCTTAATAAATTAATAAAAAATTATGCATATAAACTATTTTTTGTCTCGATTCGTAACCAACCTATAACAAAAATATTTATAATTTCAATTTGTTTTAACGTGTTTTACATATTCAATTTAAACAATAATACTGTACGTTCTAAGTTATTCGGTTAGATTTGAGTTGTTTGAACTGCCAAACTAAAAATTTAATCAAATTGATAATCGATTTTAAAATTTTTCAATCCAAATAGTCTAAAAAAATTTGATTTTGAACAATCCTGAGACATGTCATGGTGTTGGTTGAGCTCATGAGACCTAACTCACCTAAATTTTTTTAAAAAAAATATACCTTTTTACACCTTGTCAAACTTGTAAAACTCCCTAAATTTGTTAACTGCTTACTTTTTTGTCACATCAAGGAAAATGAAAATTTATTACGGAAAATGTTTAAAGGGAAACATTCAAACTGACGCCAACATCGTTGTTCAAATGATGTGTGCATTATGTGTATGACTATGTTCCTCTATGAAAATGTCACACGATGTTTCACATCAAGTCTTACTTAATCCCTTCACTTTCAACCCTTATTTATACCCACTCCGAACCAATGACCTTTTCATAACTGCTTCTCCCTAACCTGGTTTACTGAACACAACTCTCCAATAGAAACCACAATGGCAGAAATGTCTCCGATGTGGTTCATACTTCTAGGGATAACTCTTGCTTATGTGAAGGCCATGCCTCTAAGGACTCTCTCTGGTGTCACTCATGAAGAAGCAATGCTTGAACTTAAGGCATTCAAGGCCTCTATTACTATGCGTGACTCCATTGCTTCAACACCACCTTCATACTCACCCTCTCTTAGTCCTTCTCCTCTTCCATCACAGGTAATTCAGTCATGAATAGATAGATACCGTTTAGTTTCCTTTCCAAGTTGCTATTGAATTTGAAGCCCCTTAATGAAATCCATTCGTGGCCTAAGTCCTGTCTTTTCTATGGGAAAATGGCAAATGTTTGATAGACTTTTTTTGTTTTTTTTTTATTTGTATGATGAAGGATCTCAAGAAACCACACGTGTACCTTGTGACATCTTATGGTGCAGATCCAACAGGCAAATCAGACAGCACTGAAGCTCTTCTTGCAGCCATAGCAGATGCAGCCAAAGGTCCAAGTGAAGGGTTCTTAATGAAGGACATCAAAGATCTTGGAGGTGCTCAGATTAATCTTGAGGGTGGAAAGTACATGATTAGCAAACCACTGCAATTGCCACTGTCCGGGGTTGGAAACTTCATGGTATGAAAAGCATAATTTTGAAGAAAAGTTTGACAGTAAATTTGTCATTGAATTGCAAACTGATACGTATAATAAGTTTACCAATTCTTATAGTAATTATATTAAAAGGTGTATTAAATTCTACTAAGATTTCTAAACTCAAATTTTAATTCATGGTCAAGTACTGGCAAATTAATATAGAACATGAAAAAAATATCTATGTTTATAAAGTTTGGCTTTGGTCAAACTTGTAATAGAAAAAGGGATATACGAATGACTAATACCCTTTAATATTTAAAAGGAAGCAAGTCCTTTTCCAATCTCTTCTCCTTTTTTGTCAATGTTTTTAGTTTTCTTTTCTCAATAAAAAACTTTTCATATCTCACCAATTCTTAGACTCAAGGTTGCAGCAAATCAAGGCATAACTGAAGTTTTGGTCATTCCAAGACACCCAAATTTGACAGTTTAGTTTGATTTTACTTCTCTTTTGATGTTAACAGATACATGGGGGAACTATAAGTGCCTCAGATAATTTTCCACCAGATGGACGTCTCATAGACTTGTCTGCCTCAGGAAACATAAATTCCTACAATTATGAGTACATAACTCTTAAGGACCTCTTTCTGGACTCCAACTTCAGGGGAGGGGGCATTTCAGTCAAAAACTCACTCAGAATCAACATAGACAATTGTTACATCACACATTTCACCAACACCGGAATTTTAGTCCAAGGTGGCCATGAAACCTACATCAGACACTCCTTCCTTGGCCAGTACATCACTGCTGGGGGGGACAAACATGAAAGGGACTTCTCAGGCACTGGAATAAGCCTTCAGGGAAATGACAATGCAATCACAGATGTTGTGATTTTCTCTGCTGCCATAGGAATTATGGTCACTGGTCAAGCCAACACCATTTCTGGAGTACATTGCTACAATAAGGCCACTGGCTTTGGAGGCACGGGAATTTATTTGAAACTTCCTGGTTTAACACAAACTAGGATTGTGAATTCTTACATGGATTACACCAACATTGTTGCTGAAGACCCCGTTCAACTCCATATCTCTAGCAGTTTCTTCCTTGGTGATGCCAATATTGTGTTAAAATCAGTCAAAGGGGTTGTGAATGGTCTTAATATTGTTGATAACATGTTCTCTGGCTTAAATAATGGGATTGATACGGTCCAGTTGGACCAATCAAATAGTCCCTTTAATCAAATTGATCAAGTTTTTGTGGCTAGAAATGTTGTGAAGGGTATGAACTTAAAGGCCACAACTGCAAAAATGTCTATGCAAGGGAATGGAACTTCATGGACAGCTGATTTTAACAAACTTTTGCTTTTCCCTAACCTTATCAAGCATGTTGTATATACTTTGAGTGCCAATGGCAACACCTTCCCTAATCATGCCCTCAGAAACGTGTCTCAGAATCGCGTTGTGATTGAAACAGACGAGGCTGTGACTGCAAATGTTTTTGTCACAGTGGATCAAAGTATGGCAAGTTAAAGAAGTTCTGATTGAAGAGGAAATTGTGCATAGCTTAGTTACATGTAACCTTGTAACCATGCTACAAATTTTTTAGATTGTATGTTTCAAATTGTTAAATAAATTATACATTGAACTGTAAATAAAGGAAGATTATCAGTCCCTGAGCACAGATTAAGACAACATTGTTCATCACCTTGATCAAGTCTAACACCAAAGGTATAAATACGAGTTAACTTGTGAAGAAAGCATGAGTTTATTTATAAGCATTTAATATATATATGCATACCTGTTATTGATTCTGATATATCAATTCTAATACTATTCTACTCCTTGATGTTGTCAAGATTAGTTTTTCCTAATGTGATTTGAGTTTCCTGATATTGATAGAAATATTCTGTTCCTGATATTGATGGGGTATGATTCTGCTCTCAATATTGATATCATTAGATTTGTTCAAGCCTCTCCACAAACTCACTTGTTGAAGCTCTCATATAAATTATCAAAATTTTTATTTTTAACTTGTTCATAAAAACATTAAACAAAGTGACAAAGAATTGATCAAAAAGAAAGTTAAAAAATGATGTAAATAACTATTTTGAAGATAAAAAAAATAAGAATTAAATAAGTTTAATATCTCTCTAAAAAATATAACAAGATTAAAATTGTAGTTGAACGGGTTAACTGATAACGTTGAAGTTGAGGTGTGAAACCAAAGATTTTTAATCTTTATGCCACCAATTAGCAGCTAAACAAATTCTAGTTGACTATTTTTTTTTTCTATTTATGAATCTAATCTTTATAGACATTATTGTAGTTTGTTTTTTGCAAGTGTTTTTTTCCCATGTTTTTACAAGTTTATTAGGTCTGATATTAATCTCATTTTACATTTTTAAAAACATATATTTAAAGTGATACAGACATATCATTTTACGATTTCCACGTATCCTAAACAAACATTAAACTCAAAAATCTTGGTTGAATGATTTATTTAGTTCCTAAAAGGTGTATTGAATCCTTAATTATCTATATTTCTTTTTCGAAAAAAATTAAATTCTTTTGAGTCTGATGGATTGTTGTTTTGAGTGTTGTGTGTTTTACGTATATATTTTTGAAATAATTTTTGTTTTCTATTAAATTATGTATTATTTTTTAATAAATATTTAAATTTTGATCCTTATACTTATTCTATTAGATAAGATACTAAAGACTATAATAAGTAAGATTATAAAATTCATTATATTATGTTAAATTTTATTTTTAAAAGATTTAAAAATTAGATAAATCATATTTAAAAAATTAAGATAAATAATTTTTTTATATAAATCAACTCTTAAAGTTAAAAATTTAATATAATTTTAAATTTTTAAATTTTATTTATTGTACATGTCAAGAAAATTTTAATATTGTTTATATATATATATATATATATATATATATATATATATATAACTTTATCTAATATCAATTTTACATAATAAATATATAAATATAAATATTTGAATAAATGAATTTTTTTAATAACACAAATATTTCTTTATTTTGATATCATTAAAGAAAACGTCAACTCATTACTTCTAAAAAAAATTAAAATATTTTAATTTTTTTAAATCGTCTCAATTTTTCTAAATTACTATTAAAAATAAGTTTTTAAGTACATATTGAGTTAATATGGTTGAAATTAATTATGACCTCCTATTTAAAATTAATTAATTTAAATTTTTCTTTATCCACTTTATATGTGTATTTCATATTTATTTCTCTATAAATATTCTTTATAATTGTTATTATAACTTCCTATTACTTGTTATACGTTGTAAAAAAATATTTAGGTAATTAAAAGTTTACGAAATGTTAATGCAAAAGAATTAAAAGTTGAGACCCTCTATAATTAGATGTAGGGAATCAGAGGAGTTAGATAATGAGACCACAAATAGTTCTGTGAAAAGATAATTGTATCTTTTAAAAGTATCATTAATCAATAATTTTAGGTTAAAATAACATATAATTTACGTAGTCTGTTGAGAACAACTCGAACTTCTTCTTCAAAATTCCGTAATAATAATTTATAAATAAACTGAGATATTAAAAATTGTGATAAAATATTACATCTTACATATTTATCTAACATAAAAAAGAATATACAAAAATAAAATATTTTTAATTTTTTAGTTTATTCAGATTTAAAAACTAATGTAAAATTATTGTATCTCACGGAGAAAATAGCTCATTACAAAACCTTTGTTGACAATGTTCTTCAATAATGTAAAAAATAATAATAAAATAAAATACAAAATAGATGGCCAACCACACATCTGGGGAATATGTATTATATTATTATCAACAACATTTACCTAAGAAAAAACACAACTTTCATTTCAGTGTTAGGGACCCGTGACCAACTTAATTAAGTACTTATTTGTGCAACAATAATTAATTGATTAAATCAACAAGTAATGTGCATGTTGACTAATAATAACAAGGACATTGTCACATAAACTACTACAACATAGAACTTGAAGTGAATTCAATAAAGGATTGATTTTTTTTTCTCCTCCAAAAGTTTTATTAATTTTGGCTTCTGTTTTTAACGTTTAACATTAATAGTTTTTACTTTTTGCTTCTATAAATACTTAAATTTTAGTAATCAATAAAATCTACTTAAGGTACATTTTGTTTTTAATTAATAATAATTAGCTGTTCATTCAAAATTTATAAACTTTAAGGGTTATATAAATCTTGAATAATACACTTTTGAAAGTACTAGCTAGTAGTAAAAGGACTCAGAAGAATAAATTAAACCTCACTGAACCAGTTGTTGAAGATTCCTTCATTATTTTAGTGTAACAAAATTGGTAGAAGAAGCCAAAGTGACCTTCACAAATGAACCAAAATCATTTTTGTCCGGGTGAAAACAGTTCCCAAGAAGAGGAAAACACAAGATGAAGAACAAGGGTCTCTACTTTATGTTGGTGATCATTGTGATCAACTTTCACCTAAGCATGGCAACACCATGGAAAGAGATAGACTCCATCAGCAATGACTTGGAATCAGAGTTTTCATTCAGTTCACATGTGGCCAGAATGCTGTATGATGTGAGCCAATCTTTGGTTGGCCAAACAGGCAATAGCGACAACCAAGCTGTAGATTGTCCACAGACCGATGGTTATCGTTCCTGCTTGCCCTCCCAAAACGGTGGTGGCCCTAACAAAAACTGTGGTGACTACACCAGGGATTGCTAAGAACATGTTTCAGTCTTTACAAGTTCATCTCTGATTTCAAGGTTGTCTTGTGATTCTCAACTTCTTGTTTGATTTATATGTTTTTTGTCATAATAAGATTGATATTTTCATAATCAGAAGCCTTGTGTGTTGTGTTGTTGTGTATCATCTGTGTGTGGTGTACTCTCAGATATTGAATGATGATAAGAATAATTCCATACATGATGGAAAAGTTTGTGAGAAATAATACATTACCTCAAGGTATTTCTGGGATTTTGTTTTCCACACTTTTTGAACTAAATTGTTGCTTGAGAATGTTAAAATCACAGTTTGGTCCTGGATCTGACTTGATTACTTCTCTATATTAATTAATAATTGGCTACTCAGTTTGAAAGTTTTGTTTAGACAGTAAACAGACATAAATCCACCCATCTATTATCAATTACATGACAGTTAGAAGCTATAATTATTAAAAATAGTAATAAAATATTAAAAATGATAATGATTATTTTCTTTCTTTCTTTTGCACAAACAATAAAGAGTACAAAATAATTAATATATAAATAAATGAAAAAAAATTATTTGATAAAAAAATCATAAAAAAATATGTCATTTTTCACTCTAACACATATATTTATTTTCCATATTCATACGTTAGAAAAGAGTGAAAAAAATATTTTATAAAATTATTCTCAATAAAATAAATAAATAATTAACATTTTTATATTTACAATTTCAAATTATATATATATATATATATATAATTATTATTTTAATAAAACATCTTATAAAAATATTATAAAATTTAAATAAATATTTTAATATTTTTTATGTGATGTAACACAACTCTTAACATGAACTCAAACTGACACTAATTTGTAACATCATACTACTTAGACAATAATAATAGTAATATTCACATAGCAATAACGCTAATTATAATCATAATCATTGATTTGTTACCAATTGGTAATAAGTTTTGCCTTGCCCAATTAGCAGTAGATAGTTTGCTTTAAGTTGGTTAAAATTAACATTAAATTTGAAGATAATATAAAAAATTTAGCTAATTAATTATATTTTAGGCTTGGCCTGGTTGATGCTAAAGCCAAAATAATGAACCATAGTGTAAAGTTAGCATTGACTTAGCCAATGCTAGGTCTTAAATAAATGTTCCACACATCATGTCCATGTCAATAATCTATTTTCTAATATATTTGTGAGTGCATGACATAGTAATAAATATAAATTCTTATGTAAAAGTTTTAAAATATTAAAGTTAATTTATTTTTTATTTTTAAGAATAAAAAATAAGAGTCTCCTATATATATATATATATATACAAATTTAATTTTAACACCTCTGAACTATACCTTCAACAGCAGTTTTGTTTGCATGCATGAGCCACAATTTAGACTTTCTTTCATTCTTTAGGATTTGATTTCTTGATTGACTCAACCATATTCATTTTTAGTATTAGGTTATGAAATTCTCTTTCCAATTAACAAAACTAAATATGCAAACTTTTAGGTTTTTCACTATGCAAAAGCATAATCAGTGAGATGCAAGGAGAGGGAAGAAAAAAAATAAAAATAAAAATAAAAGGAAAAGGAAGAATTCATTTAAAAAAAAAGTGATTTGTGACTCCAAAAAATTATAAATTTTAAAAGTTAAAAATCATTAAAAATTATTTGACAACTAAAATGAACGTCACATTTATAAAAAAAAAAACGATTTGTGACAGATATTTTTAAAATGCTGATATTTATGTAAAAAAATTATTAATGACTAAAAATCATAATAAAATATATTTATATTCTTATTTTTATTTAACATTTTTTGCGGTCTCGTTATAAAGTTAATTCTTATTTTATAATTATTTATTATATTTTGACAAATAAAAACTGCTATAAAATATATAATATTTTATAATCATTTAACAAACTTAAAAAATTAAAAAATGTAAAAATATTTAAATGTTATTTTTTTAATTATTTTATTAATGATTCAAAATTTTAATCCTTATAAATTATTTTTCAATAATTTTATAATTAATAATTAAATATTTTATTTTACTTTAAATTATTTTTAAAATTATGATAATTTTAATAATAATTTTTTAATATAATAAAATTAATAACAATAAAAATAATATGATGATAACTTAAACTAACCTATTTATTTTAATAGAACGGTATATAATATATTTTTATTTGTTTTAATAGCATATAAATTATTTGTTAATTCTTTCTAAAAAATTGCCATAATTTCTAAATATAATTCAAAATTTCTTAATAAAATGTAATTCAATAATAAATAATATAATAAAATTTTATCAAAAGAAAATAATTTTTTTATAACAAAATTCATTACACATTATTCTATAAACCATATCTAATAGAATATCATATCAAAAAATCTATAAATTTCATAATATATTTGTCCAAACTTAAAATTTTTTATAATAAAATATAATATGAAATTTCATAAAATTATTATTCAACAAGATTATGTTACCGTGCTAACATATTTTGTTCACTTTTTCATCCTGTAATAACAAATATTAAAATAATCTTCTAACTAATTACATTGAGAATAATCTACTGTTGTTGAAAATGAAGGTCAATCAAAAAATTGTAGTTGATTATTCCCTTTGCTTCTCGGAATTATCATCTTTATCAAATTGCTTAAACAAAAGTGATAACACATTACCAATTTTTAGAATATAAGAAATGTTCAAAGTAAAAACAAAATGTAAAATCATAGCAGGAGATTATGTACCACTTTACCTCTTTAAACAAACACTATTTTAGGTGGAAGACAAATAAAGATCAAGGTCTTTAAGAGTTATACTCTTTTCAATTTCTTGGATTTATATGTTGTTTAACCATGAGAAGAACCCTTAACCTCGTGTCAAACCATTCGTAGATCCGATAGTCTGAAAAAAAATACATTACCCATCACAATAAAATTGAGTATGTTCTTAATAGAATGATTTATAAGTGTTCATGTCATTGTAATTGTTAAGCATTCATATACAATAAATCAGTTATAAAAAAAAAAAATTCAAATAAGAGAAGTCCATATATCTCCAATAGGTTTAATAGAATGGACCCTAATAATGGATAATTTATTTTATGCATAAAAAAAAGTCTTCTGTTTCATTATTCCATAAGAGTCTTATGTAGATTAAAAGAGACAATAGAGTTTGCATTAGAGATAATATAACTACTGTAAGAAAATATTCATTAGAGATAGTACATGACACTAGACATGAATCCTTCATCAAATATTTGTTATCCGCCATCATAGTTATGGGCCTTCAACTAGTGACCATGATGTCAAAGCATGTGCTCCACCCAACCCTTAGTCATCTCTTTTAATCACCATGACGATTTCCTAGTGATCATGATGTCAACGCATATGCCCCACCCAATCTTTAGTCATGATAAATATGAAAAAGTATGATTTTTATCTATGAATTATTGTACTCATTTTATGAATACCATGAGATTGATTCATATATCATTTGCATTCTCGTTACAATTATATGTTCATTCTTAATTAAAAATATGTTTTTCTTGTGTCACTATAAACTTTATTCTTTTTATCTTGTATAATATTTATGTGTTTTAATGAATAAAAGTTTATATTGATTTGTCGCAGAAGATTGTTAAACAAGTCGTTTTAAATGGCTAACCATGACCCTTTTAATTTTTATGATACTAAGGAATATCAATTTATAAATGCTAAATAATCTATACAACTTTGCAAATAAATAAATAAATATATATATATATATATATATATATATATATATATATATATATATATATATATATAGTCAATATCCACATATCATATTATAAATAGATTTAATTTAATTAATCAACTCAAAAGGTAAAAAAATAAAAAATAAGGAGTTATGATTTAAATTGAAATCAAATCATTTTTAATATCACTCATTTAATTTGCATTAAACTCAACTAACTCAATTTACAAAATAATCATATATTTTAAAAAATAAAAATAAAATTATTTTATTAATATATATACACATTAAATTTATATATTAAATTAAAATTAATTTTATTAATATAACTTAAATTTTAAAAATATATATTGTTAACTTATTTATGTAAAATTTACATGAGGTTGCAAAATATTCAAGTTGCTCTAGACAACAGAAATTTCAGCATTAGGGCCACTGATAAGTCATACAAGGTGAGAGAGAAAGCATGTAAAAATAACAAGGTTAACAAAATTATCATGAAGTGCTAATTTCTTTCATGGTTTAAATTACTTTTCCCTCCTCATTCATACTTTTGGCTATGGGTATATCAAACAATAATGGTCACTCTGAATTAGCTATTTATGTAAAAAGAAAAACAGAAGTGCCTTTGGCATCAAGAAAGTATGCTTGGAAAGGTTAACACTTTCAGCTTTTGGTAGAAAGAAGTGCTTACTTTATTGTGAAGAAATTACTACTGTTATAAGTAAAAAAAAATGTTCTTTCAATTAGGCAATAAGATGAATACTCCTTAACCTGCATAGCAGAGTTTCATACGTAAAATAGTACCATTTTCTTGACTGTAGATAGAGTATCTATCTCCTAACAAATGACTGGTGCTGCGCATAGCTGACTAATCATCAAATTTGAGGAAAGAATAGATATCTCAGAACATGGAGCATTCAACATCTCCTAGTACAAACATCATTGAACTCTCATCTCATCAATCTTCAAAACCCTATTAACATTAAGTGCTTTTGCACAAAGGCATCATCATTGCTGAGAACTTGAGCCAAATTTTCTCATGAGTTCTATGTTTTCAGCAATTGTTGACCCAGATGTTCCAACAAAACCAAGAGATGCATAGCTGCATACAGCCTGCTCAATATAGAGAAGTAAATCTGGTAATCTCTGACTGGAACAATACTTTTTACCAATTGTACTATCTGAATTTGAAAGGAACCTCTGTCCATGACCTGCAGACATGAGTTTCACAGCTGCTCGCCTAATCAGCTTATCATTCTCTCTCAAGAAATATACCTTATAGTTATGTTTGTCACTTATTAAATCGCCTAAACACGTACCAGGCCAATTATCTCTAGGAAGATCAGTCATTATAAAAATATGAACTGGTAGAGGGCCTTCCTTACTCAAAGATTCTAGTTTTTGCTTTAAGCCTTGAAATGTAGCCTTTTGATGATTCTTAAATTGTCCATCCAGCAATCTAAGTTGTGCACAAAGAAATGGAGCCCTTATGGTTTGTTTAACAAACTCCTTTCCAGCTACCAGAATTTCTGGGACAAATGGAAGAAGTTTAATCTTCTCCATCAAAGATACAAACCTCTGATTCTGATGAGACTCATGAATATCAACATATAGTTCAGAACCTTTGTATGTGGCAGAAAAAAGGGTTCCAAATGCCAGCAGTGAGGCTGATTCAGCTTCAGAACCATGTCCTAGAGTCTTAAATACATCCTTCCTTCTCCTAATAAATGGTATTTTCTTTTTCTGCTTCAGTTGTTCATCTGGTTGGAATGAATCTAACATGCCATCTCCATTGCCATCTTCATGGTAAGTCCAAACTGTAGTTCTGCAATCTTCATTGACAGCATATATACACTTTTCTATACTACCATGGACCCCAGCTAGCAGAGATCCACATTGCTTAAGGTTTTCAGAAACAGAGGACTGCAACTTTGTATCTGTAACGCACGCCAATTCTAAGCTGACGCCACACCATATTGACACAAAATCCCTAAGATCAATCACTCGAACAAGAGAGGAAGAAACTAATGATGAGATGTCTATGATTTCCGCAATTGATATATACCTGCCAAATGAATGACTAATTAATTTATATAGAGAATAAAGTGAAATGCAGTTTCAAATATAAAATTTCAATGATACAGAAAACATGCAAGGTCCTAATGGCCTTGACTTTTTACTTTCGAAGTTACAGCCAATGTTATTATGATATAAAAGGAAACTTTAACAATCATATATGAACCAAAAAGCAAGCAACTATTAGATACATTTTTCCTTATCAAATGATATGTTATCTCCATATTTAATGTAATCAGATCATATGATTCATATCTCTAATATTTCCTATATAGGAATTATCAATTATCATCTTCTAAATCCTAGTCTCAAAAATAAACCACCAAAACCCCCTAATATCTTTGTTTAGAGGAATTTTTTTGGAATCAACAGAGTGTTGCTATAGAGATTGTTTACAACCGCTATTTGGTCCACTGCAGCCGCTACACTAAACTGCTCTGCTACACCCTTGTGGCGAGCAGGGGGTACACTGCACCGCTACATCACTAGAACAGCATTATTTAAAACCCTGGAAAATACAAATCATAAATTGACAATGTGCGACAAAACTTGCTAACCTTCGACTCTGAACAAGCTCAATCACATGATCCCAAACAGAGATCCGAATGTCCTTTGGGTCTACAACCCGAAACTTTGGACAGCTACCTAAAGCAACAGCATGGTGATCCAAAATAGGAGGAACCACTAAAGTTCGATTCAGTATTCCTGCCATTACAACAGCATTCTTGAACTCCGAAAGCTGGTTGCTGAACCCACTGTGAGGTGCATACCACATGAATTTCTCGCCTAAGGTGAGGGCTTGGCTGGAGCATTGAGGGGTATGAGATGCTGATGACAATCTAGAGAACTGAGAATCAGGTTTCACATAGTTCTGATACAAAAACAACAAGGAGAGGCATATGACAAGTACAGACACAGGAATGAGTGGGAATCTGTAAAGGGGCTTTCTTTTGGAGAACATTTTGGTTGGTGTGTTCGGATTCAAAGTGATCATGCCTGTGGAATTGAGACACATACTGAAAAATTCCCCACATTCAAGTAAGTTTGCTGAGAACAATTGATCACAGTAATAATCTGTAACTTTCTCATTCCTGAAACAAATTCCGAATGAAAACAACAAAAAAGAGTCCGTTAGCACCAATACCTATGACGAGAACAAATTCTGAAAAGAACTATTGTCTCACTATTGGCTAAACTACTCATAATTTATAATCTGAAACTTTCCTATTCCTGAAATAAACTCCAAATAAAAATAACAAAAAAGAATCCGCAAGCAACAATATCCATGACAATATCAATTCTGAAAAATAAACTGATGTTATCAATAATGACTAAACTACCCAGAATTTATAATCAGAAACTTATCCATGCCTGAGACAAATTCGAAATAAGAATAAGAGAAAAGAGTCCACAAGCAACAATTACTAGACAAGATCAAACATTGAAACAAAAACAGATTTTGTCACTAATGACTAAACTACACAGAATATTTATCTGAAACTTCTCCATTCCTTCAATAAATTCCGAATAAAATATAAGAAAAAAGAATCCACAAGCAAAGATACTACGAAAAAGATCAAATTTTGAAACATGAACTGATGTAATTATAACTAATGACAAAGCTAACCAGAATTTATAAACTGAAACTTCCCCACTCCTGAAATAAGTTCAGAATAATAAGAGGAAGAAAAAAAGAGGGTCCGCAGGCTACAATACCTACACAAGATAAAACTTTTGAAATATAAACAGATGTTGCCAGTAATGACTATACTACCCAGATTTTATAATCTCAAACTTTTCCATTACTGTACACATTAAAAACAAAAAATAAAAGTCTGAAGGAAAATTTTGAAACTTAAACTGATGTTTAATCTGAAACTTTTCCATTCCTGAAACAAATTCCTAATGAAAATAAGAAAAATGAGTCCACAAGAAACAATTACTGAGACAAAATCAAATTTTGAAACATAAACTGATGTTGTCACTGATGACTAAACTCGCCAGAATTTCATTTGCAATTCTGTGCTCATATGGCTTCTAGAGAATTGACATTGAAAAAACAAAAAAAAAAATCGCAGAGGTTTCAGAGAAAGGGAAACTCACTTACTCGAATTGGGTCCCGAGAAAAAAAAAAAAAATGGTGGGTGGAGATTCTCAATGATCGTGGACGATTATTCAAATTTCAAAGCTCAATTTAAGATCGGATTCAGAAGAGCGAGCAAAGCAAGACAGGTACTTTCTCTATACCCTCTCTCTTACCGCGAGTGCTATCATGGAGCACCCAAATTGGTGCACGAAATTTCACTAGTCTCTCGTTTAACTTGAAACTCTAATTTAGAATCTGTTTGCACAAGTCTCATTGTAAAAAGAAAAATGAGGCCAAAACACTTCTTTTTTCTCTCCCTTAATTTTTTTTTTTTTTGAACTCAGTTTATTTTATTGTCATAAATTTAAACAGTTTCATTTTTATTTTTTAAAAATATTTTCACTAAACAAAATTTATCAATTATTAATGGTATTAATTTTTATTAATATGTTAACAGATTTAATTAACTAATTATTTCCCTCTTGTAGAAGGAATGATAATGTTCTGTTCGATAATGAGAAAAAAATACATGAATTCGATTAATTTAGGAAGATTAATTAAAAAAATTATTTAAAAAACAAATAAATAAATTAAAATTAACTATTTATATCTTAAAATAAATTAAGATAACTGAGATAATTAATTTAATTATTATTTACTGTTGACTTAGATATATTTTGAGTATATGTAAACAAAGTAAGTACTTTTTACTTGTTTAAAGTAAGTACTTATTTATATCTCCCTTATTTTTTTTTTTTTTGAACTCAGTTTATTTTATTGTCATAAATTTAAACAGTTTCATTTTTATTTTTTAAAAAATATTTTCACTAAACAAAATTTATCAATTATTAATGGTATTAATTTTTATTAATATGTTAACAGATTTAATTAACTAATTATTTCCCTCTTGTAGAAGGAATGATAATGTTCTGTTCGATAATGAGAAAAAAATACATGAATTCGATTAATTTAGGAAGATTAATTAAAAAAATTATTTAAAAAACAAATAAATAAATTAAAATTAACTATTTATATCTTAAAATAAATTAAGATAACTGAGATAATTAATTTAATTATTATTTACTGTTGACTTAGATATATTTTGAGTATATGTAAACAAAGTAAGTACTTTTTACTTGTTTAAATTTTTTTTTACTCTTTTATTTAATTATTTTTAAGTGTATGGCTAACCTCTATAGCTTTTGGCTAAGTGGCTACTACTGGGTATCCACCCTTACGTGGAATCCTTACTAACCATTATAGTTTTTGGCTAAGTGCTACCACTCGTACCTACCTTATGTGAGAATCCTTATTAACTATTATAGTTGTTAGTTAAGTGGCTACCGCTTCACGCTTTTAATATTTTAATTATGAAAAGATATTTAAAGGTTATAATATATTTTAACGATCATGTATTAAAAGATGTATACACTCAAAATTAATCACCTTTTCATTGTTATAGGATATAGATTATAAATATAAAAATTCAACTATAATTAATAACAATATAAATATAACATAAATAATTGATTTTTTATATATAAATCATTATTATTATTATTGAGTTACTTGTAAAGTATTATATTTTAAAACAAAACAAATGGTTTCGTAATATTAAATAAATTTTGTTCTGCTTTTAATTATTTTTAATTAATATTGATATGAGTTATTTATAAAAAAAATAAGGATTAATATAATTTAAATTGTTATAAAAAAATTAAAATAATGATAGTTTTACCTAGTTTTTGGTTACGAACACTCTCTTCTTTTTCTTCGTGCCGCGCGAGTTCGTTTGGAACCTCTCAGAGACTCAGTTGCAGAAACTATGACGACTGTGGTACCAACCTCCGAAGAAGACGCGGCGCTCTCCATTGTTCGATTCGCCTCTGAACTCGCCTGGGCCGATGCCGGCCCAGAGGTATTGTACTTCCTCTCCCCCAAACCCTTCTTATTTGTTTGCCCTCCTTTGTTCTAATCGTAAATGGTTTGGTTATTTTGCTTATTTCTCTTTTTCGGTATGATATTATGGCAAAGATAAAATGCTTGTGGGACTTGAAATTGAATCTGAGTTTGTGAAACTCGGTGACTTCAGATGGTGAATTCGAGCTTTCGGGGTGTTTGTGAGAAGTCATTCTGTATCGTGATTTTATGTTGTGGAGGTTTTCGAGATTCGTGTTTATATTTGGAGAATGAAAGGGTGGGAATGGTTTGTCAGATTCGTCTGGTAGGTTGAATGGAAAAAGAGGATGGGTATGTGTTCACTCTAGGAAAGATAAAATCATAATAAAAAATTTATGTGTGATGTGACGCTAATTGAAGAAAAGATAACAGAAAATCGGTTACTTTGAGTAGATTGCATGCTTTTAGTGTCATAAAAGATGGGCGAGAGAGACCATGAAAGAAGAACACTGGAGGAAGTTGTTAAGAGGGATCCCATGGTAAAGGATATCTCTAAAGATTTGGATTATTGTGAAAAATGGTGTCGTATGATTTATTTTGTTAACTCACATAATGGGATAAAACTTTTGTTATTACTGTTATTGTCATTTTTATTGAGGAGTACTACGAACGCACTCTTCTTAACACACTCTCTCTTGATGGTTAAAATTTACTGAAAACTACAAAGTCAGGAGAGATAGTCATTAAATAATTTGAGACTGGTATTGTAATTTCTAATAAATTTCAATCAATGAAAGAGGGCTTAGAATGTGTTCCTAGCATTTCTCTCTTCTTTTTTTATTTGTATTTTCAAAGTTTGTTGATGTTACATTAATTTGTTCTATTTCTGCTATGTACACTCCTGTGTTTAGTGTTCTTGTTAAATTGGTGCCTGTATTATTGGTAATTTAGTCCTTCACATATTGGTTGGTCAGGTTGCTGAGCCACAGGTTAGTAGACTCTGCTTGGAGGCTCAAGAGTTCATTGTTATGGGAAAGTGGTTGGAGCTAGCATCATTGATGATTACCTCTGCTGAATTGATATTCTCAAAGGTTTCTGAAAAAGGTTGAATGCTCTATTTTGCTCCTTCTGGTATTGTGGTTCTCTTCCATTTTGGTTTGGTTCCAGTTCCATAGATGATGACAAACATGAATCCCATATGTTTTATGGCAATGTTGATGTGTGATCCTCTCATCCTTTTTTCTTGATTATGTTGCATTTGTGGCTTCCATTTTGGTTGCATTTCCCATTTTCTTGTTTAGAATCAAAGTTGTTGTTGCATAGAGAACTGCTCAGAGTGATAGGATACCCTTAATTTTTCCAGCTGGATGTGAGTGTGTTAACAAGTTCTGTTATTTCTTAATTGCAGATATAGAGTCCATCTTCACTATAATCTGCAATCTTGTCACAAAGATTGAGAATACAGATGAAGTGATGGAGATTGTAAAAGTTATAACCGAAAAAATAGTTCAGCAACCAAACGAAAAGCCTGCCGTGCGATTGAAGATGTAATTTCAGATGCTATTTGGTTTAACAGTTTAGGTAATGCATGCTATTGTAACTATTTATATTATTGATTTAAAGTATCTTCTCTCTTCTTTTACAGTTTGATCAATCTGTACAATCTTTTAGAGACTCCATACTGCCAGTTTTATGTCTACATGAATGTATTGACTTTTGCTATTGATGGGAAAGTCACAGAATACATTATACCTTCATTCAAAAAGATAGATAGCTTCTTGAAGGACTGGAAAATTGGTATACCTGAACAGAGAGAGCTCTTTCTCACTGTCTCTAATATTTTGAAGGAAAATAAAAGGTATAGCTGAAATGAATTCCTATTAAGATCAATTTTCTGTATGTTCTTCTTATGTCTTGGGAGTGGGAGTACTAATTGAGCTTCTTCCCATCAGCAGTACTGTTCTCCCTTGAGACAGCAATCTTCTATCCATCTTTCAATCTCCGTTTTATGATATAAATAATTAGTATTGCATCTCATTTTATCCCAGCATGTCCAAGGATGCTTTTAAGTTCCTAACCAATTATCTAGCGACTTTTGTGGAAGAAGACGTGGATGTTTTGAGTGAAGCTAAGGAGGAGGCTGCTCGTGCAATTGTGGAATTTGTGAGAGCACCTGACATATTTCAGGTACCTTTTTTATTCTAATTATGAATTTATGATATTTGAAAGATTGTATGAACTTACTGCTTCAGCTTCCTACATAGTTTTATTTTTAGAAGTTACTATTGCCATTGGTAATATCCTTACTTTTTTTCAATTGTTTCTATATGCTTAGGGTGCTTGATTTCCAGTATTTGTGTGTGCGTATAATTAGACATGGAAGTATGAAACAGTGAAGCATGCTAATTTATTGCTTAGAACTAAAATCCATAAGGTGATAAGGATGCTTTGTTCTTGTTATATTATAGGTCATCATTATGTAGAACTTCTATTTGTCTTTGGGTTGCTTTCTATTATCTCAACATTATCAATTGTACTCTAGATATCTACGTCCACTATTTTTAAAGCTATTTTTGGCCTAGACTGCTGTAAGTTCTGGAAGAGCATTCAATAAGTTGATTTTCATGTTGTAGTGTGATTTACTGGACTTGCCTGCAATTGGGAAACTGGAGAAGGATGAAAAATATGCTCCATTATATACGCTTCTTAAGATTTTTCTTACCCAGAGGCTAGATGCATACATAGACTATCATGCTGCAAATTCCACCTTGTTGAAAAGCTATGGTAAACATCGTTCATAAATTATTAATGTTTATCAATAATTACATATATAGAGCTCTGTTCTTAATTTTACTATCACAATGTTTTGATGTTTTAGGCCTTGTGCATGAAGAATGCATTTCCAAAATGAGGTTGATCTCATTGGTGGATCTTAGCACTGATGGTTCTTGCCAAATTCCATATGAACTTATTAGGGACACACTTCAGGTAAAATTGTATTTGATTTTTTTTTTTTTGTATTTGTCTTTGTCCTAGCATTATTGAATGTTGGATTATACTGTCCAGATCAATGATGATGAGGTGGAACTGTGGGTGATCAGAGCAATAACTTCCAAGTTAATTGACTGTAGGATGGACCAAATGAATCAAGTAATAGTTGTTAGGTATGTTCTACCTCAAATTCTAGTCTCTCTCTGCACCGGGGCTTACTATACTCTGGGGGCACATGGACATGCACCCGTTGGCCTTAATTATTTATATTCAGCTTCATATATATTCCCATCAATTTGAAATTTCATTTAGCTACTATACATGATTTAATGCAAATTTTAAATGTGCAGTCGTCCTACTGATCGTGTGTTTGGTCAGCACCAATGGCATGCACTGAGAACAAAGCTAGGGTCATGGAGGGTAAAGAATTTATTGTCTATAATTATCGGTCATCCAAATTTTGCTCATCCATTCACATAATACGAGTATGAGATTGAATTCGTAAATATTTAATTCAAAGGAAAGGAACTACGGAGGTTAACTATTGCTAATCAGAATTTCAATCAATAACTGCCTTGAATTTATGATTTGTAATAAAATGACCAATATTTGATTTTAAGATTCCAAAAGCCTGTCAATTTGAATTATGCTGCAAATTGGTAAGTTTGTCTGTTTTATAAATAAAAATATCCTTGAAACCACAAATTTTAACTATTCATGTATGTAATATTTCTGATGAATACTATTTTAATTATTATTTAACTAGAGATCATTTTTTTTTTCTGGCCAATGTTTGCTTATACTTTAACTATTTTTTTGACAAAGATTGTTATGATGTAAATGATGGCTGTGCACTTAATAACATTTTAATGGTTGAGTAATGAGATGAAATGTTGTTGTTTCTACACGTATAACAGGTTTTTTATTGGCTATGATGTTTGATTGGTTGTTTCCTTTTTCCAGGGAAATATTGCAAATGTTATCAGTACCATTCAGGCCAACAAAATAACGGATGATGGGTCTCAGACAGCCCAAGGTTTGGTAGTTCGGTGAGAACGTTTTCAACTGAAACAATTGTCTGAAGAATCTATATTTTATGCAGGTGGGTTTTTTTTTTTTTTTTTTAAACAGAGAGAAAATATTGTAATTTTTTTGTTACAATTTTTTCATTTATTTTAGCTTAGTTGGTAGATGACTCTAATTGATTGTACTACCCAACTTTGGCATAGAAGCCATTTTGATTGAAGCTTTTTCAGTTTGTGTTATGTTGATCAGCCTCAAAAGAATAGCATAATATAACCGAGGATTGTTATCCTTGAATCAACATATAATCATTTTGGATATATTTTTCTCCATAATAACGAAAAAAACAAAGTGAAAAGGAAAAAATAGTTTGTGTGGAATTTAAAAATCAATTTTGAGTAGTTAAGTTTAGATAAGTTTTAGAAATACGAGATACATTTTGAAAAGTAAGGATGTGATAGTTTTATTTTATTTTTTAGTTCTAAAATATAGTTTTGGTATTTAATTTTGAAAATATATTAAAAAATGTAGAATAATTTTAATTTGAAAATTATTTTAGATGAGAAAATTTGATATTGAATTATATATTATTTAATGAAATTAAAAAAAGTATCAACTTTTGTTTTTAGTTTATAAAAATTAAATAATTCAATAAAATGACTAACAAATAAAATTATTTTCAAAAGGTAAATTATTTATTTAAAAAAAATTAAACAAGCAAGATCTAATTTTGCATTTATAGAAAAAACATTTTTCATCATAAGTTTTTCTTTTATAATATTTATAGAAAACATTATCCAAATATAATTTTCTGTTGTAATATTAGAGCCATTTGTTTTGTCTCTAACATATTGTGTTAAAATTACCATATGCTCTTCATAGATCTACTTTTGTAATTGAATGTAGAGCAAGATGATTTTATTTACTTATTATTAAAAATTATTCAGAAAATAAAAAGAAATTAAAACCTGTCATGAGAAGTTAAAAATCTTAAATTTTAAAATTATGATGACGTTCGTTTCTAATCATTAAATTTGAGAAACTAAAAATAGTTTCTATTTATTCTCTTAAAATTAGTATTTAAAATAAAACATTATTTTATAATATAAGAAACTGAAATATATTTTTTAAAATTTGGAAGTTTGAAATTAAATTCACTTCAAATTTAGAGAGTAAAAAAATAAATATAACATTTTTTTCAACAATTATTAAATGCTTTCTTTTCAATGGAATAATTTTAGTTTAGTTGTTATTATTTTATTATATGGTTATATTTTCCCGTGATGCTCTACTTTTTAAACAAAACAAATTTTATCCTTCCATCATCTTTTACGAGTCCCCATTTTCTTGTGTGTTTAGCATTCTACATTTTGTTATATTCTCCTCTTTTACTCTCTTTTTTTTTTAATTTATCCAAACAATATTCTTTTATACGTATGGTTGGATTCCATGTTCAAAATTAAATTCTAGAAATATGAAAAAGTATTTTTCGAAATTTACTTCTTAGATGTAAGAAAAGTTTTGGAAACTAATGCTTGAAACTTACATATTTTTGGAAATTAAAATTCCAAGTTATTTAAAATATCACACTTTTTTTAAAATTTAATTTTCGAAATGTTGTATCTAGAGATAGTAAAATAGGGCAAGTTTGTTGGTCTAGCTTAAACTTGCTTTATGAAATGTATCACTTAAACTTTAATTTTTAATTTTAGTTTTAGTTTGAATTCACTGAATCATTTTAGTTAAATTTAGGCTTAACTTAAAAGTTTGAAAAAAAAACATTAAGATTAAATTTTATTTCGTGACCTTGAATTAAATATAGTTTAGTAACAATTTCTCAAGTAGATACTAGTATATGTAAATGTGTAATATATTTCTTTTTAGTAATTAATTAATATATTAGTTTCTATTAGAAGGATTGATGAAATTAGAATCAAACCTTTTAATTTCAATTATTTACTTGGTGTATATATATATATATATATATATATATATATATATATATATATATATAAATTTCTTTTCAAATTCTAGTGAAATTATATAGAATTAACAAATCATTAATTATATCAAACTTAATTTAACCATAATCAAGTCAATTAAATTTAATACTTCACATTTTATTAGAAAAAACAGCTAACTCATACACAAAGAGCATCTACATTATCTCCCATTGCATCTTTGACCAATTCGTATCTCTTTTCTGCATAGTTTCTATGCAGTGTCATCACATTAACTTGGTATCTCTCTTCTCAAAATTCTGATATAATTCATATATTAACACAACTATTAGATGTGCAAGTTTATCAGACATGCATGAAAAACAAAACTCCAGAAATTCGTGCACATATTCAATTCTCAGAAACTTTTCCATCTCACAGGAATTATTCTTATATATCAACATTTGATAAACATGTAGTACAAATGATACACAATATACAACCACCATAGAAGCATTAGTTATTACATACATACACCATCTGATATTAATTATGACAGCAACATAAGAAAATCAAACAACATACTGAGAATATTAACTCCACATGATAAAGACCATAACATGTTCTTAGCAACCCCTGGTGTAATCAGCACAACGTTGTCTAGGGCCACCTCCATTTGGATCAGGCAAGCAGCTACGATAACTCAGTAATTCTGGACAAAGTATAGCTTTGTTGTTGCTGTTGCCTGTTTTGCCACACACAGAGAGGCTCACATCGTACAGCATTCTGGTCACATGGGAATCAAATGAGAACTCTGGCTCCATGTTATTGCCTATGAAACCCTCAAAGTTGGCGTTCACAACGTCATAGCTGTGGATCAGAATCATCACCAACACTAAGTAGAGACCCTTCTGCATTTTGTTGAACCCTCTTTGTTTTCTCACTCGAACAAAGGCTATGGTTTGTAAGGTATGGTAGGGTCTCTTTATAAGTTCATACGTAAAATGCTTTACATTGGTACTGCAACTTTTAATTATTATTGTAAAAATAGGTGTGCTTATTATAATATCATGATTTCTTATTAAATGATGATGTAATGTTTTTTACACTGTGTGGCACATATTCAGGGTGTTTGGTGAAGTCGGTTTCAGTTTAATAATAAAAAATACAACATTTTAAATTTGATTTGATTTGGTTTAATTTTAATCTTAAAAAAAAATGGTTTGGCTCAACATTTCAAATGTGGTTTATATGTTGTTTGAAATGTGATTTTTAGAAAGCAATAGTTATAATTTCTATATTTAATCATGAGTTTTTGTTACTCTTTGCATAATGGTCATTAAATCTTGTGGCACATAAATGAAAAAAATAATAATTAGTATATATATTTATATAAAACGACTATTATCAATTTTCAATTATTTATTATGTAGTGATTCTTCTTAATAATATAAGAGTATTGGTGGAATGTAGTTAAAAAAATTTATTTAATATAAAGTAAATATTATTATTATTTAAGAATGGAATTACCTTTTTTTTAGATATTTTGGCATTTTTCAGCTGGCTTCTTCCTTTTTTTTTTTTTTCTTTAGTGGGGGTTTTGCATTTATTTATACTTGCCAAGTCTCGTGTGTTGTCCATTCTTCAGAACTTTTTTCTGCGAATCCATGCATGTGAGTTCAACTAATTTCGATTTTTCTCTTTTTATTTAAATAATAACGTAACGTTTCAATTTTGATGTATTTTGGTGTCTTTTACTTCTCACTAAAAAAATACTCATTTTCTAACCTTATTTTAAGATTAATTTAGGAGTGTTGATAACTTCATTTATTAAACTAATTTGAAATCAATTTTAATATTCTATAGTCATATAAAGTTCAAAATATGACCCATTTATTTGTATTCTCTTAAAGAAAAAAAAAACAATTGAAACTTTTTAATGCAAAAAAAGGAAGAAAAAAAAACTACGCAGACAAAAATTTGTAATAACGTTTTCATTCTGGGCTTAGAAATGAGATCCATAAGCTGGATTCGTTTTATTGATGTAAATTGGGTTGAGCCCAATTCAATAGAATATACACAGAGCCCAATTTTGGTGATTAACTCCAAGAGTAATTGTATGACCATTGTTTCAGTCTAATTTTGCTTCACTGAATTTCTTTATAAGTATTTATAAGAGAAAAAATTAAGAAAAAAATTTTAAATAAAAATATCTTATAAGAATTTAATTTTTAAACAATAAAACATATTAAGTTTTTTAAAATCTTATTTTAATTTATACATAAACTAACTTTAAATTTTATGAATAATTTTTTTTATATAAAAAATTATTTATTCAAACTAAGTCCTAATCTAATAAAATGTGTGTTGATAATTTTAATATATATTTATAAGTTTTAACACGAATAATTGAGTGTTTCACTCACAAAAGTTATAAAATTTATTCTCACACTCTAACTATGCAACTCTACACTAAGATGTGACGTAGGAACAAACACTCCACAATTATTAGATTAATTAACCAAAAAAATAAAATATCGAATGTGGTTTTTGTCGTTTGGTAGTGGATTATGAGTGGATTGGATTTAGCAAAGCTGAGAAGTTATTGGGAAAGATTTACCAACTAAACTTAATTAATTTACAAGTAATTTCATTTGACCATTTGATTCACCAGTCCAATAAGATTGTTGAGATTCAGTTTACGAAGAATTTTTTTTTTGTTGACTTTTTTTTATTCTTCACTCAACAAAAATTATAGTGGATTATTTTAAAAATTTAATTGTTTCTTAAAATGGGAAAAGAAATATTAAGTCGAGAAAGAAATTTTAGGTTGAATGTGTTGTTATAGGTTCAGTCCTGTCTTTTGTGAGAATTTTCTCATTTTCGATTGAGAAATTTCACTCTATATCCCTTACTTTGGAGAATTATAATAATGAATTCAAAGTTAGTTTATACTTAATCTTCTCTTAACTTTCCAGAACCATAGATCATATATGCGAAAATTCATGAAACATGAGAGGAGGAAAATAAAAAGTGAAGAAACCGTGCAGAGGTAATAATTTATTATTTGGAATCTCGCAGGGACTTATTCTAATCCACAATTGATAAACTGAGAGTACAGATGATATGATGATACACAGTAACAGCACAACCACAAAACTAAACAGGTTGAGATTCATTCCATCACATGGCAACCTTAAAACAAGAAATGAAACTCTGAAGATTGGAACAACAACCTGAAAACACAGGAAATAATGAACTTGTGAAGATTGGAAGATGTTCTTAGCAATCCCTTTTGTAGTCAACACAGTTTTTGTTAGGGCCACCACCGTTTTTGGATGGCACGCAGCTGCGGTAACCTTGCATGGTTGGACAATCTACAGCTTGGTTGTTCTTGTTGCCTGTTTTGCCCGTCAAAGATTGGCTGACATCGTAGAGCATTCTTGCAACGTGAGACCCAAACGAGAATTCTGATTCCAAATCGTTGCCGATGAGGCAATCTTCTGTGACACAGTTGTTGGCGTTGACAAGGTTGTGGTGGATGAGAAGGATGAGCAGCACAAAAGAGAGACCCTTCTTCATTTTCTGGGAACTGTTTTCTCACGGACAAACAAGATTATGCTTCTGAGTGATGACCCTTCTTGGCTTTGTACTGTTGGTATTGCTCAAATAATTGAGGACCATAAAGTTTAGTGTGGGTTTAAGGATTTTGTATTCTGTTAATACATAGAAATTTATTGAGGTGATAAGAAAATAGTTATCCCCACTTAATTTTTCAAAATATTTATTACTTAATCAACATTGTAATCATGATATTTTTTTTTTTAAATGAATTGGTGGTTTAGATGTGAAGAAAAGTCTATTGGAAAAAGCTTTCCACTAAAATTTGTTTGCTCTTCTTGAACAATTTTGAAAGGAATAAACTATGAAAACGAAATAACCACGAATTTTCCCTGTCACTGTCAGTGGAATTGTGAGAGAAAAGGATTGTCTTATCATCGATGGTTTAGAAAAGTCTTCATAACCTTTAAAAAAAATCTTAATATAAATTAGATTAGAAAATAAAAAGTAAATTATTGTTTGAACAATTTGATTGATGAGAGATTAAGGAGTTTATTTGTCGTGTTGTCCATCGATATGGTTTTAATTTTGATAGAAACTAATCAATTGGTGTGGAGTGAAACATGTAGGGACTCCATTCTGAATTACTTCCAAAGGAGATGATAAGGTTCCAGCTAATTTTTATTTTATTTTTTCATATATTTTTTCTGTGGTTTGTGGGTCCATTTTTTATTTTTCTTAAACCAACCTCCTTTTCTTTTTCTAAAATTCAACTCCTACTAAATAAATATCTAAAATTATATTTTTTTACGACTACAAATATAACCTTTTCATAAAGGTCTAAATTTATCATTCATATCATAGAGATTTAATACGATTAAAACTTTTAATATATATATATATATATATATATATATATATATATATATGAAATTATTATTTTATTAATCTGTTTTTATGTTTTGGTTTAAAAAAAAAAAAAAAGTAATAAAAGATGTTTTGTGTTTTAGTTGTCCCATTTTATTAATGAATATTAATGTTTTTCCTAATAATCACTCATTTTTATCATTATAAAATTATTAAAACTACTTTTTAATTTTTTGTCACGATTTTTCATTTTTTTTATTTAAAATATTTTTAAAATTAAATTTTAACATAATACAAGTCTAACTCAGCCCAAATACAAAATGAAGAGAGGTCTCATCTAATAGTTTATACAACAAAATTACATACATCTCCTTAAGAATGTTCTAGAATTTTATTAGCTGTCATTTACTCGTAATGTATTATTTTTATTCTTTTATCATTATCCTAATGAATACCTTTGTATATATATTTGTATTGTACACGATAAAATACACATTGAATTTCATTCATTCTTGTCCTTTTTTTTCTTTCGTTATATCATCTTTTATGGTATTTAGAGCCCTTTGGCATTATGTCTGTCGTCTTTGCAATTTCTGACCCTTCCTCAGACCCTACACAAAACCCATCAAGTCCTTACCATATTCATCCTAGTGAAAACTCTTCTTCAATCATCGTGACACCTCCTCTCACCGGAAATAACTACCATTCATGGTCTCGTTCCTTCAAAATCGCCGTTATCACAAAGAACAAAATGGGTTTCCTTAATGGTTCTATTTCCACTCCTAAGTCTTAGGACTCTACTTACTCTGTTTGGGAACGTTGCAACACTCTATTAATGTCTTGGTTGCTCAACTCATTGTCCCCGTCCATTGCTCAAAGTGTTATTTTCCTTGAGAAAGCTATCGATATATAGAATGACCTTAAGGAACGATTTTCCTAAAGCAATCTACTCTGCATAGCCGAGCTTCAAGAGGAGATTTATGCTTTCAAACAAAACAACCTCCATGTTTCTAAGTATTTCACAAATTTGAAATCAGTTTGGGAAGAGCTTGACAATTATCGTTCATTCCCTGATTGCACATGCTCTGCCAAAGAATATCACTCCCAAGACTTCATTATTCGTTTTCTCAAAGGTTTGGACAAACATTTTATTGTTGTTCGTGTTAGAAAAGTAGTTTTAGATCAAGAGGGGGCGTGAATTGATCTTTGAAATTTTTTCGCAAATAACAGATTATCTAATTCGAAAATTAAGTTTACTAATCTATTCTTGAATCACAAAGCAATCAATTAAAATAAGCGCAGCAACTGAATTTAAATGAGAGAAAAGTTAAGGAAGATATCACCGATATTTTATACTGGTTCACCTAATACCAGGGCTACGTCCAGTCTCCAGCCAAATTCCAGCTGGGTTCCACTAGATTAAATGTTTTACAGATTCAACAATCTTACACCTAATCTAACACAAGAACCAAATTCCAGCTTCCGCACTTAACCTCTCCACCAAGAACCAAATTCCAGCTCTTGATAACCTCTACAACCAAATTCCAGATTGCAGAGAAACCAAGTGCCCAAATTCCATGCACTAAACCTTTCACCAAGAACCAAATTCCAGCTTCTTGATAACCTCCACAACCAACTTCCAACTGCAGAGAAACTTGTGCCCAAATTCCAGGCACAACACAATACAAAAGAATGAAAAAGAATTTACAAAGAAGAAACTAGAAAGCTCAAACCAGCTTTATCCAAATCTGCAGAGAGTTTCTTCTTCAAAAGTATGCAAGTTGCCTCAAGAAAGATTTTCAAAAGAACTTCTAAAAACTGTTGCGAATCTTTCTTGAAAAAGGATGCTAAAGGTTGCTTGAATGATTGCTTAGGAAGTGTAAAAACTGATATTCAATGTATGTTTAAAAAGTTCAAGCAAAACTGTTTTTAAAGAGTATTTTCAAAACTGCTGTATTAATTAATCTGTTGAAAGTTTGTTTTAATCTGTTGAAATAGCCGTTTCAATCTGTTAAAAGTCATTTCAATCCATTAATGCGTTCTTGATTCTTTAACAGAATTGTTTTAGCTGATACTGGAACGGTTATATCAATTAAAACACTTTTCAAAAAATCTTCTAAGTTAATTCAATCGATTGTTTCGTGTTTTAATCGATTGATATACTGCAAAACTTTCTTATAAAACTTTTCAAGTTATTTTAACTGATAAAAAGAAGTTTTAATCGATTAAAACTCTGTACAAAATTTTTCCAAGTTGTTTTAATCGGTTGAAACGCGTTTTAATCGATTGAAACTCTGTACAAAAATTTTCCAAGCTATTTTAATCGATTGAAATGCGTTTTAATCGATTGAAACTCTGCACAAATTTTTTCCAAGTTGTTTTAATTGATTGAAATGTGTTTTAATCGATTGAAACAGATCTGATCGGTCATAATTCAATTCTGATCGATCATAACCAACTCTGATCGGTCATAACTGCATTCTGATCGATCATTCTGACCCTTTAAGTGATTTTAATCGATTGAAACGTGTTTTAATCGATTGAAAAAGTTTTGATCGCTCATAATTCAAATCTGATCGGTCATATTTGTATTCTGATCGGTCATAATGAGTTCTAAAAGGTTTTAATCGATTAAAAGCAATTTGTATCGATTAAAATACTGTAAAAATACTTCTTTGAACATTATAAGAGATTATAATCGGTTCTTTCAACACTATATCAGTTAAAAACATTATTAAGAAAGCTTTTGTTAAAATTCTTTGTAATTAATTGTTAAAAACGATTTTGGAGGCATTTTGCAAAATCATTTAAGAGAAGAAACTTCATGCAGCAGAAAAGATAAAGTGGTTTTACCTAAGCCTTCTGTAGACACACTAAATCTTCTAACTCTATTATCTGAGTGACTTGTTGACTGCTGCAAAGTGCCTTTTGACTTCATCTTTGACTTCATCAAATCAATGAGATCTTTGTCAAAGTATTTCACTAAGATCTTCATCACTTTCAGTCTCCCCCTATTTGATGAAGACAAACACCATTTTGAAAAATAACTCTGCAAGAGAAGTCACTTGATAAAACAGATTAGTGAGAAATTAAAAAATGTATTAATGTCCTATTTCTCCCCCTAAAACTTATTTTTCCCCTTAAAATGATGCTTCCTTAATGTAAGAGTTATTTCTCTAAATTGATCCTAAAGTAAGGCAGCTATTTCTCCCCCTTTTGACTTCATCAAAAATAGGGAAAAGAAGAGAAATAATGAAATGCAAAGGTTTTCAACAGTTTGAGCTTTTGAAAAAAAGGAATCAATACTTTACTCATGTAAAGATCAATTAAAGTTGATTCAAACTTATCTTCATTAACACGTTTGTAATGAATACAATTAACACGTGTAAAGATAAGGGAATCACGCTTTAGTAGCATGTTGCAGGAACAACCATTAACTAAAGCCTTTAATTTTTCTTTGCGAGAATAAAAATCGATTAAAAACGAACGGAATCGATTAAAATGTTCTTGGTAATGATTTTAATCGATTGAAAGACGGTTTAATCGATTAAAACATTTAAGAATTTGGAAACATGAAACTTTTGTGCAAATAATCGATTATTTCGACTTTTAATCGATTAAAACATTAATGAAAAATGTTATATAAATTCATTTAATCGATTTAAAAGATGTTTTTATTTATTCAAACATTCAGATTTGAAAACTCTGTCATATCTGATGCGAATTTCTTATATCTAATTTAGTGGATATGTTGTGAACTGATTATCTAGAAAAATGTTTAAAAACAATATCAATTATATTGATTATCTTTTCACTAATAGATCCAACAATATCAGAATTAAGATTCTCATTTATCTATGATCTAATTTTATCTATGTTAGTTTTATCCAAATTAAAATCTATATTATATCAGTCAAAGTTAAAGCAACTGTGCCTGGTATATAACCAGTAATGTTACTGACCCAGAAAAATAAGCATCAAAAAGCAATAAGATATAAGAGATAAGGTAAGAAGGGACCCTTTTTATCCATACTTCCCTGATTATTTGTGTCAGATGTCAAAATTCATGACTCAGTCATTTGATCCCTACCAACGTTAAAAGGCCATAGGCTTCACTTTTTGCTGAAACCAATTTTGCTTTATCAACCATTGAGACACCAACAACTGTTTT